CACACACAAGTTTGATCACCCATCAAAAATTATTGGAGCTTGGATGGGATGTGTTGCCACACCCACCATACTCGCCTGACCTTGCGCCATCAGACTTCCACTTATTTCACTCTCTTCAAAACTCCTTGCGTGGTATAATGTTCAATTCAGATGAGGCTGTAAATCAGCACCTTGTTCAGTTTTTCGCAAATAAAGACAGGTCCTTTTATGAACGAGGAATTATGAAGCTCACTGAAAGATGGCAAAAGGTTATCGAACATACGGGCAACGTATCATTGATTGATTTTTGTTCTTTATATAAATAAATGACCTTTGAAAAACATAGACAAAATACGTTATGACTTTTCTGACAACCCAATATCTAATATCTTATGGCTTCACCATGACCAAAGGCCCTGAGAGCACTGATGCCAAGAAGTTCACTCACTTTCAAGCCAGGAGAACCCCAGGTTCCTTTGAAAGTGGGTGATAATAGAAAATTCCTACATGTGCTGCCCCAGGCAAGGTCTCCCGAGATGAGATAATGTGTTCACCATTCAGCCGCCAGCAGTCCTGGCTGGAGGACAAGTGACTACTTTACAGGAAGCAGCAGTCAGTGCCCTACCAGTGAGGTGTGGTCTCCATAACTGGCAGCATGAGTCAGTGGCTTTCCCTTTTTTAGGGAAAGTTGCAACATGAGCATATGACTCCATTAAACAAGAGCTTTCTGAAATCACAAGCAACAAAGCCAATTTTCCAAGAGAAAGACTAAGCATGATAAAGCACTTGATATTCTCATCTAATAAACTGCATTTTCAGGCACCTCCCCAGCACGAAGATGGTCAGTCCTAGGCTTTTCTCTCGGCACCTGACTCACACGAGCAGCTGAACCTCCGGTCCCCAGGCTCCCCAAGTGGACAGAACAGCCTGCTCCTTTACTCTGTACTGATTACTGGACAGGAAACAAATGCTCTGCCCTTCTTTACACCCGTGAGCCAAATCTGGGAAACTACCTGTTCCAGTGCGTCAGGTTTTACTGGGACACAGCCACCCTCCTTTATTTATGAGGTGTCTACAGCGGCTTTTGTGCTGCGAAGGGAGTGTGGAACAGTCACAGCAGAGACCACAGCGCCTAAAACATCACTGCTTGTCTCTTTACAGAAAAAGTTTGCCAACCTCGTGTACAAGGAAAATACATCTTAAGTATGTGAAGAGGTGATGGATTTTTGCAGAGGAAAAGTTTTTCAAGTTAACAGTGTCACTCACTAGCTGTTAGTTAAGAAAAATGCTGAGTCTCTGTCATGAGGCACTCTCATGTCAGCTCTAGCCCCAGGACAGCAAAAATCTAACCAGCCCCAGACAAGTCCTCACTTTGTTCAAAGCCCTGCTGGAGGCACCCCATTTCCTCCTCGGGACCCTGGCGACCCTGACCCCTTCCCCAGCCTGGCTTCTCATTGGCTCCTTCACAAACCTGCACTCCAGGTAAAATGGTCCAGGTTCTTGCCTCTGGGCCTTTGCTCATCCCTTCTGTCATCAACTCATTTCTAATGTTCAATTTTTATCATTCAAGGCACAGAGCAAATACCACCTCCTCCAGGCAGTATTCCAGTATTTCCTTCTTGGGATTTATAATGTGTTTCCCCTACTACTTAGGACTTCCCAGCCACGATTTCTACAAATCACGCCCAAGTTGCCAGAAAGCTGCTTCATGGCTCCTTGAGGGTCACTGGTTAAAAATGGAAACGGCTGCATTTCACTCAGCCCTGGTTAGTCAGAGCTGCGGGTGGAGTCCTTGAATCTAAATTTTGAACTGACTTCTGGGTGAGACACTGAAAAGACTGACAACCCCAGGAAACAGATGAAGGGATTTATTATTCTGGTCATTTGAGAAGTATTTTAGTGCCTGCTTGATAAAGGCACAATTAAAGCAGGTATGACGACAGAAAAAACTATCCCTAGGCCCTTGAGAGGT